AATTAGTGTTCTGCGTATAGCAAGTAATCTTCATTTATCACCGTATTTTGTATGGCGTGTATTGAACAGAGAAATGTTACATCCATTTGATCGCCAAAATGTGCAGCGTTGCCTGTTGGAGCAATAGCATGGCTAACGCATTCCCCAGATTTAAATCCTTTGGACTTTTATTTATGGGAACATATGAAGCAATTTGTCTACCATGTTGAAATCACTAACCGTCAGCTGTTACTTGAAATAATTCAGGATGCAGCTAACCAGATAAGAAATGATTGAAATCTCTTCCGTCGAGTGACGGAATCTTTAGTTCGCCTGGCATTCGAGCCGAGGAAATTGTTCAAAATGTCCACCCTCGCGAGGGTGGACATTTTGAACAATTTTTATAGTCTTAAGATTTGTTAATTTGGTTAATAAAGGTTGACTAATGTTTAAACTTTAAACACAAATAATAATTGTTATAGCAACTATTATTTTTATTTATCAGGCTACTTTGAAATATGAAATTTTTTAAAGTGCTTGTAACTTCTAAACAAAAAGGAATCGGACCTACGTTCATATAAGAAAAAATGTTTGAAATTAACCCATCTACCATCTAACATAGTTTGTCATAGAGTTTGTAGAACACCCTTTACAACTCCAGTGATTATTTAAATTATAATTCAATACTAACTATCCATTTTTAAAACATAATGGTTTAACTTCAAGAAAAATGAAAAAATTGTAAAAAATAAGAAAACACAAATATATTTGCAATCCTTTTCACGATCTCAGAATCGGCCATCAATATATTATTTTTTTTCGCAAATTTCTTTCGCAATTTGTTCATTAAGTTCTTCATGAGGGTCTAGAATTCATCTCCTAAAAATACTGTTGATTAAAGTTCAGATGTACAGGCTTGAAGCTGTAAATATGAATTTGGTCAAACTTTTAAATAATTGATACAAATTAAATACGTATAATCAAATATATTAACATCGATTTCCATGCTCTGCACAGAAAATTGATAAAAGGGCATAATAATATACAGGATGTACTGAAAGTCCGTCAGCAAACTCCGGGAGGTGATTTTACGGATTAAAATAGTAACAGTATGTAATGAAATTTTTTTTCGAATTGTCAATTGTTTGCAAGTTACAGCTTGTCAAAGTAATTTTTTTTTAATTTTTCTATTTAAATAACTTATTTAATTCAAGTTCTATTGGTTTCTCATTTGGCACACCCATTACGAAGATGAAGCTCTAGTGGACCAATCAGAAGAAAGTTTCATTATGCGCCGCTAGAGGGCACTTTACCTAGAACTTAAAATTTGTTTTGTCCATAACTTTTTTCTCATGCTAGACATGACAGAAATTTTAACATTATTGTAAAGAGAAATAATATCAGAAAAAATTATGTATTCTCAATTCAAGTCGATAAATGTAACCGTTTAGCAGGAAATCGCTATTAATCTCTATTAAAGTGTTATTAAACATCAAATTTTTGATCATTCTTTCTGCAATTAATCAAGTTGCCATACTGTAATGCCATCTCTTGTAAAACCAGCTTCGTTAGTAAATAAAATATGATTAGTATATTCATTATCCTCAGCTTATTTTTCCACAACGTTATTACAGAGCCGAAAAAAAAAATATTATGGTCATAAACAATTTTTATTACAATTCGTAACATCAAAATTACTATTGATATTTATTTGAAGCATTGCAATTTGATTAATTACAGAAAGGATTATCAAAAATTTGATGTTTAATAACACATTAATAACGATTTCCTGGTAAACGGTTACATTTACCGGCTTGAAGAGTATATAATTTTTTCTGATATTGTTTCTCTTTTCAATAATGTTTAAATTTCTGTGATATCTAGCCAGCGAAAAATGTTATGAACAAAACAAATTTTGAGTTCTAGGTAAAGTGCCCTCTAGCGGTGCTTAATGAAACTTTTCTCTGACTAGTCCAATGGAGCTTCATCTATTTAGTGGGTGTGAGAAATGACGTACTAATAGAACTTGAATTAAATAAGTTACAATAGTTACATACGACAATTCGAACAAACATTTCATTACTGTCACTATTTTAATCTGTAGAATCACGTCCCGGAGTTTTCTGACGGACTTTCAGAACACCCTGTATTTATTTTTAGCTCTTAAAATTTTTGTTTCCAAATACTTCACCCAACTGATTGTACAAAAAAGAGGCATTTTCAATATTACGAAAAATTAACTATATAAATAGGAACAAAACAGCAAGAAGTTTTAAATCGGCATCTTATAACGTTTTTAGGAGATGAATTCTAGACCCTCATAAAAAACTTTCAATTGGATGAACAATTTTCGAAAGAAATTTGCGAAAAGCAAAAATTCATATATTGATGGCCGATTCTGAGATCTCGTAAAGATTTGCATAATATTCCAGTCGGGTTAGACAAAAAAACGGCTTAACCGGGAAAACATTAGGGACCACAATTTAAGGAAAAATCCTTTTTGCTCAATTTCTTGGCCATTTTCAACTTTACAACAAAAATTTTACGGACTTAAGTTGTTGCAAATGCGATTTCCTACAACTTCTTTTATTACAAATATTATCGTGCAATCGATATTTTTCAAGTTAAGGGGGAAAATAGTGACAAAGTATAATTATTGAATTATCTCGTTTGTTATTGATATTATTATACGACATAAATGTACATAAACAAAGTCGGAAAGAATTATATTTTCTACAATTTTGATCTCTTAGATTTTTTCGCTACTACCAACATTTAAGGTCCTACGCTTGCGGAGACGTCAGGCCTATGGAATGTTGATCCCTTGAGTTTAGTTAGGCTTGCCATAGGCGTAGGACCTTAAATGTTGGTAGTAGCGAAAAAATCAAAGATATTAAAATTGTAGAAAATATAATTCTTTCCAACTTTGTTTATGTATATTTATGTCGTAAAGTCAATAACAAACGAGATAATTCAATAATTATACTTTGTCACTATTTTCCCCCTTAACTTGAAAAATATCGATCGCATGATAAAATTTGTAATAAAAGAAGTTGTAAAAAATCGCATTTGGAACAACTTAAGTTCATACCATTTTTCTTGTAAAGTTGAAAATGGCCGAGATATTGAGCAAAAACGATTTTACCTTAAATTCAAGATGGCGGCTGACACAGGGGTGGAATTCAGTCGCGATTCTGAATTTAAACTACTATTGACCCCCCCCCTAAAGGTTAGAACAATAAAATTGTGGTCCCTAATTTTTTCCTGGTTAAATGACAATCCGACTGGGCTATAAATGATACGGGTTCCGCGTTTCATTATCATATCATTTTAATTTTCGCGACCCGTCACTGATAGATTACGTACTCATTTACGTTTTTAGAAAATCCACAGAAACGTAAATTCACGCACAGCTGGCGAATTGTAGAGGGTTGCAGACCCTGAAAACGGCTCTTCTATGAACATCTTACGATTTCTACTCATCTGAATTTGTTGGTTTACACAAATGCTGTGCTTTAATGATGGATTCTACGACACACTCACGAGATACAAGGAGTTCAAATAAAAATATATAGTTTATTTCAAATTGTAAAATGTGACAAAGGAAAAAATTCAAATAATATTTTATTATAGTCACGGATAACATGATTACTTGATTAATTATTATCATTGTTTCAAAAACAACTTGACCTATGTATGTTAAAAAACGTGTAGACAATAAAGAAATCTTACTATTTTTAATCATCAATACCTTGTACGTGCTTCGAAAACGATGCGTTTTAACACTTAACAAAAGGGTGCCAATAAAAAAATTTTTTAAAATGATAGAAGCAATAATAATAATAATAATATAATAACCAAAACTTATAAGAAAATTCTCGTTTTATTGCGATTTACTTGTTTCCTGTTATGATATTTGAACCGAACAATGTAGACGTGTATAAAAAAATCCGGCAGAATCATAATATGCAATTAGAAAAACAATGGAACATCAAATTAAAAAAATATAACGGAACTAAAAGAAAAAATGGCTGTCACCTGATAATTTTAACATAAATATTTGCTTTCGGAAGCTCGTAACGCACGTAACAATTGTTTTTTTTTTTATGAAAACAACGTCTACTTTAAACATAAATATTTTTATAATTATAAAATATCAGTGGTATGACGTATTGTATATTGCTAGATTTAAATTTAGAATTAAAAATATTATTCGATGCAACAAAACCTACAACGTTAATCAAAGATAGTTACTCGTGAAATTAAATTCCGGTCAAAGAGGAAGTTGAGCAAATAAATGATTATCCGCGAAAAGGTTGTAATATGATCCTATATTTTTTGTAGGTCATGGCTTTATATTCAAATGATGGATTAAAGTAGCAATTATTTTTCAAAATACATACATCTTTTACCAGAAAAAATCGTTTTTTCGGCTATATCTTTTTAAACTGAGGTTCAACTGCTTTTTTATTCAGCGTAACATTGATTCGCCTAACCAAATAATTCACACTAAAAAAAGTAGACAAATAAAAAAAAATACAAAATAAACTAATTGAGTGCGTGATATGCAATAGCGATGTGTGTTTTATAATTCTTATTCTTCCGCTTTTTTAAGTGTGAGATTTGTGGTTGACTGAACATTTTGGCGCAGGGTATATTTCACTAATTTTTCAATTATTTCCACACAAATAAACAAAGAAAAAACAAGAACTACGCCACAAACAAGTAACATCAGGCAATATATTTCCGAACACTTCACAAAAAACAAATCGGTCTTAGTTCCGGTAATTTAGATGGCCAGTGTTAAATATTACGTATCTCAATGTTTGTAAAACTGCAAATAGTAGCGTTCATAAACGATTTGCTCCATGAACAACTGCATTTCAATTCGATCTACGCCGATAATTTCCGGATACTTCGTAATGCCTGTGTAACGAGGAACATTGTATTGTACATGATCACATTTTTTTACAGAAACAAATTCCCATGTTATTAAAATATTTTCGACAAAAAACTCTTACCACTGCAACGGCCACCAGCTCGCTTTCACTGCTCTGTTTAGCTTTAACAACGAAACCACTAGAGTAGTGCAACGCCAGAAAAAATACTCCAACAAACAGTGCTTTCATTTTTGCGATTACGATACAACTACAGTACGAAACTAGGTGCTCAATAAAATATGTGTGGAGTGATTAGATGGAAAGATAATTGGAAGTAACCGCGTTCAGCATAATTTTTAGATTTTATATCGTGGGAAACAAAGGAGGGGTGGGTGGGGTTGAAAATTGTGTGGAAAGCACTGAATGTGGTCAAGGATTGTTTGTTCTGATACGGCACGCAAAAAGTTATTAATATAATAAGTTCGCAAAGAATGAACCGGTTTTTTTTGCTCGCGTTGTCGTCGGTCAACATACACTACGTTTCCACATATTTGCACCTCTAGAAATAACCATGCATGTGAATTTGTAATAGTTTTTTGTCAAGGATTTTAGAAAACCTAAGCAAGATAGGAAGAACGTCTCTTCACTGTACCAACTACACAAGTTTTCTTCAGGGTGTAATACAGCAGAAAATACTTTCAAAATAAGAAAAAAGTATATGTTTACCTAGGAACGATGATCCCCTCCATAAAAAAAATCCAATCATGTCATTATATCATATCGGTGGCTTTTTTTTAAATCAAACGAAGGAGTATTTTGGTTTTGACATTTTACATCAGTAAGTTGATGTTTTTTTTAGAGACCTCCATAGAACTTGTAGCACTGGGCTCATGGGCTCACCCCAAGCAAAAATCCTAGCTACGCCCATGGTAACTAGGATGTCTTTCATTAAAAATTCTGCATGTTTAGTCTTTCCGAAATCAGTTGAACATATAAAAAACCGCCTGGCAATAAAATTTAATGACTTTCATAAGAGTCCCTAAAAAAGTTTTCTGCTAAAGGTAAAAAATTGTAATAATTTGTATATAATATGTAGAAAATTTCTATTATATGTTCATTTGGCCAACAACATATTTTAATTATTTATGTCCTCAAACAATTTTATTATATTGATGGTAAATTTCGTTTTGTCCGTTTCAGAAGGTCTCCAAAATGCCATGTTGTAATAATATTAGTAAACAAAATATCCCTCTTATAGAACGCGATAATAAATTAAAATTACCTGAATCACACCAACTTCCGCATTGCTGCACTGCACTGCCAGGCGACTTGTCGACAACTGAAATTTATGACGCAGTCGACCAGAGCAACTGTGGGTGAACTCTGCTTGCCCGCACGCGCATTCTTCAACTGGGCGTATACATTTCTACCACCTGCACGTTTAGTTCGACCAGACCTGTATATAGGTATGACTAAATAAATATGGGGACAGGTTTTTCAAATATTTCAATGCCGAGTTGTTGCGTATCGACCGAGCCTGGTACATACTGTTAAGTTCTTGGTTATTCAACTGAAATCGGAAAGACTATACCTACTATTTATAATTCCATTGCACTAGCCACGAATAAAACTTTTAAATAACAGCATTTGAATACGGTTTCCATTATTTACAAATCAATATTTAACTACCACTGTCAGACTAACAGCAAATGACGACTTATGACGTAGGTACTGGTTGTTTTGCTAGCAATTTCACAGCCATCCTCGCAAGAAATTGGATCATTTTAATTATCACAGAAGCAGTCAACAACATAAAAATTAAAAGAGTTATAGGGAAGTGTAACATGGATAGATAGAGAATAAAATTCTACAATGGATTTTGATTAAATATACAGGGTGTTCCATTAATAAAAACGAAGTTTTGGCGGTTCGATGTTAAGCAAATTCGACAATAAATTTTCAGCACCCTGTGTAAAATGAAACAGTTTTTAAAGCATCCCCTATATCCCTCCCAAACATCAATACTTCACAATATAAAAAATAGGCAATTTTGAATTAGGCTATCGAAAAGCAACTTTTTTGATCAAATTGAAATTCGATTAAATGTATCGGCGACACTGTTTTTCAGAAACAAAACCGTTTGCACATTATTCTTAACTCGTGTTTACTCGTGTACAAATTTTGACATTTTTATCTTTAGCCGATTAAAAGATGATTAAGGAAAACCATTTGGAAAGTAACAACTTCAACACACTGTATCTCGAAAACAAGGTGTCTAAGAAAAAAACTTCACATGAACTATACCCCTATTATTTTCCCATGGGGAACTTGCACACAAGTTTTTTAAATAAACGGGACAATCTGTATAAAACACAAAACTTTTAGAAAAAGTAAAATTGTTGTCAATATGCTGAGATGAATGTGAATTGTTTTTCTACTTAACCAATTTTGCCTTATTTTATTTTGATGGTATTAAAGCCAATTCAAATACATGAAAAAACATGTTTTAAGAATTCAATCAAATGAAATCGAACAATATTCTTTGAAACCAAAAATCTAGATATCCAAAAAAATTAGTTTCCTGTGGTATCGTCAGTTAAGAATCTTATTTATGAGATAGATATCTTTATCGCCGAAATTTACCTTTCTGATATTTTAATAATAATGATTACAAGAAACACTATATGTAAGGGATATCGACAAATAAGAAAGTTTTGCTAAGATAATGTATATTATAATGCATGGCATGTGGCTCTCTCTTGTTGAAACCACATGTCCTCTACATCCATATTTCGCAATTTAGGCACAAAAAACTGGATTATCATGTACCACCATTAACTCTATTATTTTACCTGACGGGCCACATTTTCGAAGAAGAATTATCCGATGACGCCTCCAGCCCAAAATCTATACCAAACAGTGACACGTTGTGGATGCATTTGCTTCTCAACAATCACTCGTGGATTTTCTGAACCACAAATGCGACGATTTTGTCTATTAACGAAGCCAACAAAACGCAAAATCAAATGTTCGCAAAATCCATCCACTTGTTCCATAATCCATTCAACGAACTTTCTTTGTTATGCTTGATCAGTAAGTAGGTTTCAGTTCTTCAGTTAATTGAACTTTGTAAGCATAAGGATGCAAATCTTTCGTGATCTGCCTCCCAGAATTTTTCAATTAATCTCTTCACAGTTGATAAAGTTAAATCATTATTCCAGACATATTTTGTACGAAAATTGCGAACTGTAGCTGCCAAACCATTATTTTAAAAATATTACTCAACAATAAAAACGAAATGTGAATCACATGAGATGTGGAGATAGATGGTTGCCTAATCTACAGTATAATTTATGTGACGTAGTAAGAGATCTTAACCTAAGAAATAAATTCACTCTCTAACCATAAATAAAGATGAAAATTATCGAATTTATGCAAGAAAGTTGCCCAATTCCTTTTCTTTCTTACTAAAATGAACAGAAAAGGTTCAAATTATCAATATTGGGAACTTTTTCGCGTAATTAAAGTATTTAGACAATTTTCAGATAAGTGGCGTAAACATTGCGTTTTTTAAACATTGTCACATAACTTTGTTATAGTGTAAGTATGTAAGTAACTTTTTCTGTAGACATTTTAAATTATATCGCAAATCGTTATAAACTTGATTGTGCGTGATATTTTAAAATTGCGTAATTTTTTTAATCAAAACCGTACGTCGATTTCGATAGTTCGAAATCATATTTCATGCCTAAACAGGCAGGCGAGGCCTTGGAAATTATTACATATGCTCTATATGTAACAACTAGTTGCAATTTTTAAACAAACTCAGTGACTCGGAAACTGATCGTTTCTTGCTCCGGACAAATTTGTCACAACAATCTCCCTTTGTATTGTGTACATTTTTATACCATCAGAAATCTATTCTTTGTAATTTGTAAATACTGTGTCAGAAACGGAATTCTTTTGTTTAAGAGTTATTTATAGAGTAAGAAGTTAAAGGCATATTTGTGCATAGACGATGGCTGTAAAAATAAAACAAAATCGCTTTTCGAAACGTATTCCATAAGCTAGGTACTTCCCACGTGAAGTCGTCAATCAAACTGCAAAAACCGAATAGGTACCTGCATTTATTTTGAGAACTGCAATTTTTAAAGTTTCTCTTAAAATATGCACATCGTTATGAAATATCACTCCTGATTGTTCATAGGTAAACAAACATTATGCATACAATAATCATTAAATTCAATCATGATGAAACTGACTATTAGTAGTATTAGTACAGTCATTGAAGCTTTTCACCTCCGAATTCTTTGAAACTGAACCGATCGACTTGAAATTTGGCAGATAGTTAGAGAACATTAGTGAGCGCCGATTGACGCTTCCACCCTGTTGGGGGTGGAAATTTTTTTTCAAAAATAACGCTGGAAATCGATAGAGAATCAAATTTTGAGCAAAAAATATTCGAAGAATTTTTTCGAGAAATCATAGTTTTTAGTTATTCACGATTGAAAACTTGGAATTTTGAGTGAAAAAAAATACTTTTTCAAAGTATTTTTCGCCAATAACTCAAAAACTACGCATTTTATTAAAAAAAGTTTAATGAACAAAAATGTAGCTTATAAAATATAAACAAAGAAAATCATTTTTAAAAAAGTATTGTACGTCCTATACAAAGCGAAATATGGTTAGTGGAAGGGGACTTGTTTTGAGGGGAATACTCGAATCGATTCAACGTCAAATAACGGAAAAAAGGATTAATTTTACGTGTATAACGCTCCTGGAGTTTTTTGTAGTACTCAAAAAGACCTCCAAAATGAGCACTTATAAAAATTAATTAGAGCAAAATTGAAAGAGTTATCGTCAAAAACAGATGGGTTGCTCATATTTTTTAAGGAAAAATGAGCAGTAAACGCTGTACCATTTCCATCAGAATTAAAATTAATCGTAGACCCTTTACAATTAGTTTTGTTTTAGTGTTTTTCATACGATCCTGAAGTTAGACCGGTTTAGAATGCATATTTTTTTAATTAAGTACGGTAAAAGTTGAAAACGTATTTTTCATTATTCAAAAAAATTGCCTTATTTATATAATAACTCGGACACTAAAAATTAAGCTTTTTTTTCAACAAATATTTTGCTTTTTTTTAATTCCTATTTTGTAGGATACTATAGCTTCAAAATTAACCGTTATGGTAAAAAAACTAATGACATTTTTTCGGAGCAAAATAGGCTTTCTCATTTTTATATATTATATTATATTATACAAATAAAATAAGTAAAAATTTAGTGTGATTATTTATATGCAGCGTAGCAATTTTTTTTATGATTGATTATATTTAAAAATCGATTATAATAAAAATATTTTACATTAATATTGGTAAAAGGGTAGTTTATAAGAGTTGAAAATGGCAAAAGTAAAATATTCTTTCATAAACAATATAAGGGAATTTTTATTTTAAATTATTNTTTTTTATGATTGATTATATTTAAAAATCGATTATAATAAAAATATTTTACATTAATATTGGTAAAAGGGTAGTTTATAAGAGTTGAAAATGGCAGAAGTAAAATATTCTTTCATAAACAACATAAGGGAATTCTTATTTTAAATTATTGCACAATTATAGCATTCCAAGATTTAAAACGTAATTTTTTATCATTTTATGAGATATAAATTCTTTCAAAGCAATGAGGGAATTTTTATTTTAAATAATTACACCGTTAAAGCATTCCAAGCTTTTAAAAAGTAATTCTTTATCATTTTTGTCAATACAGGGGTGGTTTTTAGGGGTTGAAAGGGAAAGATTCTTTTATTAGCTGTAAGGTAACTTTTATTTTAAATAATTGCACGATTTAATCATTCCAAATCTTTAAAAAGTAATTTTTTATCATTATTTTTTGCATAGGGGTAGTTTTTAAGGGTTAAATAAAGGGCCGAAAAGATTAAATATATCATAAAACATGTTCGAGAACATGGAACATTATTTAATCTTTGTGCTTGAACAAGATTTTTATCAATAAAATGCTTAAAATTAAATTTTTTCAATTTTTTTCACTTTGGGGTAATTTTTACCCCTAAAAAACAAAAAGCGTCAATCGGGCTTATGTCACCACTTTTGAACTTGAGCCTAAGATGAGCCTTATTATAAATTTTCACGCAAATCCATGCAGTTTCAAAGAATTCGAAGGTTACAGCTGATTTTCAGCTTCAATGACTGTACTATATGTAATTTTGGTTGCATAACAGAATTTATCTTTTCGAAAGTCATTTTGAGGCAACAGTGACATTTTGATTTCATTTCGGTACGTCAAAAGTACAGCGCACATCAAAATTGACAGTGTCTCACTACAAAAGTCGGTTTTTTATATATAAAAGACCATCAATTCAGCACAAGTCTTATAACATGGTGGCAGCATGTATGTGAGGACAAGATATAAATAGCAGCGAGACAAAGCCGATACCTAGATGGAGTGAACTATTTTTTCACAAAATAAAATGATAAAACTGATTGTGATGATAACTGTTGCATTGTTTATCGGTTATTGTAACTGTCACTGTGAACGTAAGGAAGACGAACTGTTATCAGTTGTTGGGGTAAGTCAAGATTTTGATAAGTTGTAGCAAACAGGTCCACATCTTTAAAATATCTTTAAACAAATCTGAATTTTGTATTTGAAAAGGTGTTTCAAATAGTTTTATTGCTTTGAAGAATCGTTGGTTAAATAGAAATATGATTTATTTCGGTGTTTCTAATTGTAATCATATGCTAAGTGACAGTACATTTTTAAATTTAAAAAATAACAATAGCGCCCTCTGCCTTTTCTTTGTGCATGAGATATTTCACGCTGTATGTAACAGATGGCACTGCCAAGATTTCCTTTAACCAAGTCATATACCTAGTAAACTATGGACTGGCCCTAGAAGGAGAGGTCAATTCCCTCAACTTCAAAATAAAATTGACATTTTATTTTGAGGATGAGGGAAATAATAAAATGACTTTTGACTTCAAAATTTTGCCCCCTTAGGGTCATATGATACTATGCTAAAATTATAACTAATTTCAGTAATTAACTAGAAACTTTTTAATCGTGCATTTCGTGCAATTCTTGATGCAATTTGTGTATGATATATGATACTATGCAAGATTAAAAAGTTCTTAATTAATTACTAAAATTAGTTCTAATTTTAGTATAGTTTTATACGACCCCTTATATTTGCCACTCTTCAAATTATTTTTTATCATTAAACTAAATACATATACATAAACAGTTTCAACTGACTTGTGCTTATAATATGCTTCAGCAAAACTTCTCTTTAAATAATATGTCGAAAAAGAAAGCATCAGCATCGATATAGTTTTGCCAAGCAAGATAATATGAATAACTATTTAAAACAACTACTTCAGAAGAGCTTGTAGTAATTTTAAATGATCGAGCTTACGATATGAAGAAAATAAATGCAAAAATACATAAAGAAGGCATTATAAAAACTATTTGTATTAATAAAATATCTTTGACTTTAAATTTCTAATTATTACATTCCCCCGTTAATATCTCCAATTTGTACAGAAATTCCATATAAACAAATAGTGTTTATACTCTTATTCATTAATAATAATTAAAATTACTGGTACAAATATTATTTTTAAAAGAAGAGAAATCGAATTATTCAGTTTGAATTAAGATGAAGAATTCTTAATACCATAAGTGTAATTTTACTCATAGAATTAATATATCTACACATTTTTAATGGAATTTTTTGTCTTCTAGTCTATATTATTTTTATAGTATTTGTAGATCAGAAACTCGGCTGTCCCTTCTGCCATTCATCTGAATATAGTTAAAAATATAAAATAATAATTTTTCAAAATTTTTAACGTAACCATACTTCTAGTGTAGCCACCACACATAAATGTTGTTAAAATCATTTTAACTTCAAACGGGAATACGGCCCAACAGAAAAAAGGGGTAAGGAATCGAATACAGCTAGCTGATTGGTTGAATTAAATGTAGCGCCATACAGTCGAAGTATAAGCCCGCACTAGCTCTATCTCTCTCTCACACCTCTGTGCAATTGTCGTTTATACAGGGCTGGAAAATCCACATGGTCCATCTGTCTTTACATGAGAGTGACAAAGTAAAGTAAAGAAATCCGTGCGATAGACAAGGATGGCTATAGTGAAGACGTTTCATAATCTGAATAGTCGCCGCCCGTTTCGGGTTATGACTATTCAGATTATGAAACGTCTTCAATGTAACCATCCTTGTCTGTCGCACGGATTTCTATGACTTACTTTATCGATCTCACGTAACAGTTGGGCGAGTCCAGTAGTTTATAAAGTCTATGGACCAAGTAAAACGTGAATGTATTAATTTTTTTTAATAGTTTCTCATTTATGTTATTGTTCAGTTGTTTAGGCATGGCGACAAGACGCCAAAATTGGAATATTTCGACGTATATCCTAACAATCCTTGGAATATCCCGAAACTGTGGAATCACTCGGATTATGGATTCGTTACAACTGTAATAAGTTAATTTCAATTCTCAGTTCTTTTCTTACTTAAGACCTTTCCGCCAGGCAGGAAAGTTAAACGTCTACAACCGGGGCAAATGGTTGCGAGAACGCTACAAGCAGTTCCTCCCTGAAAAATATTCCGCAAAGAACATCTTCGTGCAGTCCAGCGACAGTGACAGGGTATTAGCGTCGGCGCAGCTGCTGCTGGCAGGCCTCTTTCCACCGAAGGGCACAGACGTCTGGAACGACAATCTCATGTGGCAGCCGATCCCCATTCACTCGGTGCCTGACTACAACGACACGGAAGTGGCGCAGAAGGTGACTTGTTCCAAATACACGAAGCTTTTGGACAAACAGCTTAAGTCGGATGTGCACGAATTCGAGGATACCAAGTACCTCTCACAATACATCGGTACGCCTCCTAGACGAATTTTAAGTGAAATAGCTTTACCGATATTCGTTCCAGGCAAAGAACTAACGTCCCTGGAGCAGATCTACAAGTTGTACAAGCTGTTGAGGATCGTCGAAGAGAACGGGATGGTTTTGCCGGGGTGGGCACTAAACGCGATGCCCCTGCTGAAGACAAAAACCGACTTACTCTGCAAAACGTATTCCCTAACGCTTGAAATGCAACGGTTCATGGGTGGGCCTATCATTCATGCTATGTCTAGCCATTTCGATGCCGTCTTGGCAAAATCGCCGAATGCCCCAAAGTTGCTGCTATTCGCTGGACATTCTAGGACAATATCGAACGTACTCATGGGTATGTTTTGTAATTGTAATGCAGGGCGCCCCAGTACCCTATACGTGGTGCTATCACTGTTCTTGGGTGAATATGACGATCTAAAGTTGCTTCGTTTCTTGGCAAAATATTTTAGTTTTTTCGCAATCCTAAAATGCTTCGTCAGGCGACTTTGCTACTTTATTCTTATTATGTATATCAAAAAGGCGACAATTTTCTCCTCTTTATACATACAGGATGTCCGCAAATTTTATCGACAACGTTTGACTGCATATTCAGGACAATAAATAAAAACATCAACGAAAAAAAAGTTAAATAAAAAATTATTGGTTTTTGAGTTACACGTTTTCAAAGTTGTCAAAAATAAAACTAATTTAATTAATAACTTCATAACCCTTTTGCCGATCCCGTTAAAATTTGGCAATTTTATTTGGACTATTATGGCGTATTATTTCTTAAAGCTTTAATCAAACCGATATACTGGGTGATAGTTTTCTTCGGTTACCTCTCCCTTTTAGAGGTCAAAACTTTTACAGTGGTCGTATTTTTTTAAAACGGGCAGCTACATTAAAAAGGTCGTTTGTATTTAAAAAATTATTGTCTCTTTAAAAAATAGCCTATAGAAAGCTATTCTTAAGAAAAATTACGTTATTTGCAGGTTCGTATGTTTCAGTTTGCTTAGCAATGCCACGTATTTAAAACTTTGAGTTCAGTAGGCGATGAAAACAAGATGTTGATTGCTGTGGCTGTGGCAGGTACTGTCATTATGGTCGTGTTTCTTTAGGATTCTCATCACGCCATACATGCAAATTATGAAAATTTACAACTCCGTTTCTTGTAAAACAAGATTTGTCGGTACAAAACTATTTTTGAAGCAAATTAATATCTTCTGCGAAGCCATTCACCAACCAGTGGCGAAATCGTAAACGGGCGTTGGGATCTAAATTTTCAAGTTCTTGAGCAGCAAGTTGCTTCTTTAAAGCTTTTTGGACATTAGTGATACATACATTTAATTGTCTTGATACACTGCGGACACTTCATAATTTGCATGTGTGGAGTGATGATCGAGAATCCTAAAGAAACACGATAATAATGACATTACCTGATAGCCACAGCAATTAACATCTTATTTTCATCGCCTACTGAACTCAAAGTTTTAAATCCGTGACACTGCTACCTACGCAAACCGTAAACCTGCAAATAATGCCATTTTTCTCAAGAATGGCTTTCTGTAGGCGATTTTCTCAAGGGACAATATATTTTTTTAAATAAAACGACCTTTTCAATATTGCTGACAGTTTTAAACAAATACGACCACTGTAAAAGTTTTGACCTCTAAAAGGGAGGGGTAACCGGAAAAACTATCACCCAGTATATCGATTTGACTAAAGCTTTAAGAAATAATACGCCATAATAGTCCAAATAAATGTACTAAATTATAACGAGATCGGTAAAAGGGTTATGAAGTTATTAATTAAATTAGTTTTATTTTTGATAACTTTGAAGGCCTGTGATTCAAAAACCAAAAAGTTTTTATATAACTTTTTTTTTTTCGTAGATTGTATTTATTTATCGTCGTTTTAATTTTATTTATTTAATTCTACTTTAAGATATATTTTTTTGGTATAGGTCAATTATTTTACTGAAGGTCTAAAGCGAGTAAAAAAAACAGTCTACAAGTAGTGAAATTGTAACTCTTGATCCATTGACACATGGATGGAAAATCGAAAATGGTTGTTTGGATTTTAATTATTTCGAAGGAGAAACTGCGTTAGATATGCTTCAAAAATATTTTTTTTCATGTAGTGGAAAATGTTCTACGAAAAATTGTAACTGTCTTCATCGAAACTGGAATGTTGTGCAGTCTGTGTGTGCTCAGATGAATGTCAGAATGTTCCATCCGAAATTGATGATGAAACGCTTATTTCAACTCAAGAACTTGTCGAAAATAACGAAAAACTTATTCTTCAAAAATTAAATAAAAAAGAAATTAATATACTTTTATTGCTCTTAATATTTTTGTAAAATAAAAATAAAATAATTATCCTATACAATAAATTATCCAATAATTTTTTTATTTTTCGAGACCGCTAGGTTAATTATTATTATTAGGTTAATTTTACGATTTAAAAAGCTTATTTAGTTTAGTTTTGGTATAATTTTCAAGTAAATTTTAGCCATTTATAAAACCAAAAATCGAATATTTAAATTTTACTAATTACTTACAAAAACCTTACTCCGGCTACAAAACCAAACAAAATGATCTTTTGAACATTTGTACTGTTAACATATATCGATTAAAAAAAATCATAATGTTTATTGTAAATATAATCTAATCCAAGATATTGTAAAAAGAAAATTTAAATTTGAAGTGTTATCATAATTTTCTTTAAGACTTATTTTTACTCGCTTTAGACCTTCAATAAAATGGTTGACCCATACCAAAAAAATATATCTTAAAGTAGAAAATCTGCCGATTATTATGCTGTTTTAGAATTAAAATCTGTTCAGTAGTTTTTGTGAAAAAAATTCCGAAAATTTGTCGATTTCATCACTTTTTTGACATTAAATCGTAAATATCTCGGAAACGAAGCATTTTTCGAATTTTTGTCAAAGAACAAAGAGTGTTTATTTAGGTCCATTTTACAATAAAAAACTGTTTTCAAAGCCATTCGGCGAGTAATTTTTTTACAACTTTTTTGTTTATAACAATTGACTGACCACACCGAAAAATATAAAAAAAAATATGTAAATTATCAGAAAAATACACTATAAAAGAAAAAAGTTTCATGCTGTAGATTTTTGTTTTAAAAATTTAGTCGGTTCATGCCTTTTTTTTGGGGTGAACCGCTCGCCTACTGTGTAAAACAATAAACTCGAGTCACGGGCTCAGAGTTAAAGATTTCTTTCTTTAATATTACTTGTTTTAATACGCATAACTGAATACTGGAGTGTTTTGAGTTAAGAACTTAGCAGACCTGATCAGGTCAGACGGACCCCGGATTCGGATTAAGTGACCCCAAAAACGTATAGATACATTGGTTTACTTTGTTGGCAATTGATTCTCTACATTTGACCTTGAACTGACCTAAACGCAGACCTGATCGGATCAAATGGACACCGGATTCGGATTTACCGACCCCAAAATCCTACAGATATGTAGGTTTCCATTGTTGGTAATAGATTCTCTACATTTGACCTTGAAGTGACCTTCAACCAGAGCTAATCGAATCGAACGGACACCGGATTCGGATTCAGCGACCCCAAAAACATATAGATATATTGGTTTACTTTGTTGGCAATTGATTCTCTACATTTGACCTTGAACTGACAACCCAGAGCTAATAGGAATAGCTTGTCTTTCGGATGCGCCACCTTTTTTTTGTGGGGCCGTGTTCTTATTATTATTATTATTATTGTTATTGTTATTGTTATTGTTATTTTTGTTATTATTATTGTTATTGTTATTTTTGTTATTATTATTATTATTATTATTATTATTATTATTATTATTATCATTATCATTATCATTATCATTATCATTATCATTATCATTATCATTATCATTATTATTATTATTATTATTATTATTATTATTATTATTATTATTATTATTATTATTATTATTATTATTATTATTATTATTATTATTATTATTATTATTATTATTATTATTATTATTATTATTATTATTATTATTATTATTATTATTATTATTATTATTATTATTATTATTATTATTATTATTATTATTATTATTATTATTATTATTATTATTATTATTATTATTATTATTATTATTATTATTATTATTATTATTATTATTATTATTATTATTATTATTATTATTATTATTATTATTATTATTATTATTATTATTATTATTATTATTATTATTATTATTATTATTATTATTATTATTATTATTATTATTATTATTATTATTATTATTATTATTATTATTATTATTATTATTATTATTATTATTATTATTATTATTATTATTATTATTATTATTATTATTATTATTATTATTATTATTATTATTATTATTATTATTATTATTATTATTATTATTATTATTATTATTATTATTATTATTATTATTATTATTATTATTATTATTATTATTATTATTATTATTATTATTATTATTATTATTATTATTATTATTATTATTATTATTATTATTATTATTATTATTATTATTATTATTATTATTATTATTATTATTATTATTATTGAATGTTTTTTCAGGAAAATTATGGGAAATAATCATAGTGGTACCGATTTAGTCGTAAAATAAATATTACACACATGAAGACTGTTAAGGAGGTAGAAAAAGTGACTAGAGAAAAAATAGTTAATACAAATTTTCTGATAAAACAAATGTCATAAAATGTCTCCCATTCCTATAAACGTGATTACTTCTAGTGCTATGTCAAGGAGTGACATCTACATGAAATTTATATCAGACAAATTTTAGATTTATACGAAAAAAACTAAAACGTCTTTCCAAATTTGTGAGCCCTCTCTAGGCGTCAAGCGAAACCGTTTCGTATATAATATCGTACAATTTAGATCGTCTTATATCAACTCCAATAATCTTTGATAGTTCCACATAGAAGTAGTAATATTGGACCACCTTATATAAAATTACTTGTCTCATTTCTATTTCAGCTCTCAATGCTTTTATAGAACAACCGCCCTACACGGCGACCTTACTGTTCGAGCTGAAGAAGAACTGTAATGGCACGCCCTTCGTGGACATCTATTATCAGACGAATAAGACCGGTGATCCCGCAGAAATTGTAAAAAATATGCCATACAAGACATTCCAAGACCATCTGAATCCGATCAGCGTGGATCACTCAACCTGGAGGAAGGAATGCCGCACGGGATTCATCTTCCGCGAATAATTACATTTCAGGGGCAATTTGAGTGTGCGTCGGGTGACGCAATAAAAGCATACGACTGAAAATTATAACTTTTATTTAACAAAATTGGGGACGAGTATATAAGACTGTAGCATATAACCCGCAGAGGCAGCACCACCGAGATATTTAAGAAAATATTAACGTAATTTTAAAGTACTTTAAGATCACTTCTGAAGAGTTAAATGTAATTCAGTTCAAGGAAAGACTATTCCACCAGGGATATTTGTTATCAGTAAAGTTTTAATAACCACAAAACTATGTTTATTTAAATTTAATATATGACTTATTTTCATCTTCTGCGAGTGGTTACACTTTCGTTGCAATTTTAGGTTTGTCAGGTGACGAAATAAAAGGATACTATTGAAAAATATAACTTTTATTTAACAAAATTGGGGATGTGTATATACAGAGTGTAGCATTTAACCCTTAGACGCAGCACCACCGAAATATTTATGAAAATATTAACGTACATCGTACATATTTTAAAGTATCATAAGATCACATTCTGAAAAGTTAAAGGTAAATCAGTTCAAGCAAATTCTATTCCACCGGAGATACTTGTTATCAGTAAACTTTTAATAACCACAAAAATATGTTTATTTAAACTTAATATATGACTTATTTTCATCTTCTGTGAGTGGTTACACTTTCGTTGCAATTTTAGCTATGTCAGGTGACGAAATAAAAAGATACGACTGAAAAATATTACTTTTATTTAACAAAATTGGGGATGAGTATATACAGAGTGTAGCATTTAACCCGCAGACGCAGCACCACCGAAATATTTAAGAAAATATTAACGTACATATTTTAAAGTATCGTAAGTTCACATTCTGAAGAGTTAAACGTAAATCAGTTCAAGGAAATTCTATTCCACCGGAGATACTTGCTATCAGTAAACTTTTAATAACCACAAAAATATATTTATTTAAACTTAATATATGACTTATTTTCATCTTCTGTGAGTGGTTAAATTTTTGTTGCAATTTGAGGTATGTCAGATGACGAAAAAAAAAATAATATGACTGAAAAATATAACTATTATTTAATAAAATTGGGGAAATATATATACAGAGTGTAGCATTTAACCCGCAGACGCAACACCACCGAGATATTTAAGAAAATATTAACGTACATATTTTAAAGTATCGTAAGATCACATTCTGAAGAGTTAAAGGTAAATCAGTTCAAGGAAATTCTATTCCACCGGGGATACTTGTTGTTAATAAACTTTTAATAACCACAAAAATATGTTTATTTAAATTTAATATGACTAATTTTCATCTTCTGCGAGTGGTTAAATTTTCGTTGCAATTAGAGGTATGTCAGGTGAAGAAATAAAAGGATACGACTGAAAAATATAACTTTTATTTAACAAAATTGGGGATGTGTATATACAGAGTGTAGCATTTAACCCGCAGATGGAGCACCACCGAGATATTTAAGAAAATATTAATGTACATATTTTAAAGTATCGTAAGATCACATTCTGAAGAGTTAAAGGTAAATCAGTTCAAGGAAATTCTATACCACCGGGGATACTTGTTAATAAACTTTTAATAACCACAAAAATATATTTATTTAAACTTAATTAACGACTTATTCACTAGGTTTTTGGGATTTTTAAGTTGAGCACAGACTTTTTACATCTTAAAATGAATAATGTTAGTTTTTCAATACACCAAATAAATATACAAAACAACAAACTACCCTTTAGACTTAACGATTGTAATCAGAATCTAGATATTTGATATGTAACTATTTCTGACTTACTTCTAACTTATAAATTCTAAAAATGATCAGTAAATATCAAAACCAATTAATTTCGACATCAACTTAAGTTTTTGGTTTAAGTCCATAGTTCTGGTAACATAAAAATAAGTATAAACGTGCAAGCCTCTCACGCAACCACAGCCGTAATATTGACATGATCAAACTTCCACCTCTGGTACACGGTATTCTTACACCCGTGCACCTTCAATCCTTTACCGTTCTCCACCCCGTCGCTACTCAAACACTTGTTAGTGCTTGGGTTGAAAATCGTCCCGTTCCTATACAACACCCAATACTGCTCCCTCTTGTGCCCGTGGCACTCGGTCAACTGCACGTCCCTCTCGTTGAACACCTCAGCGCAGAAGTTTTCCTTCCTCAACTCCCCCTTGCTGCTCACCGAGAAGTACTGTGACATGGCTAGATAGGGGTGGCACTGGTACAGCCCCAAGGGACCGACTTTGTCCTCCCCCAGTTGCAGATCATCGAGGCACATGTCAAATTCCGTGCGAGCTTGACCGTAAGCGAAGACGTTCTCGTCCGGTATAAATTTCTCGGGGTAGACGTTCTCCAGGTACCACCTGAAGGACTTGCAGCGCAGCTTTTGGCGCAGTTGCTTCCTATGGGTCAGGTCGCCCACTATGGGGTTGCTCTCGAGGCCGGGCTGGTGCATGAAGAAGAACCGCTTGTAGTCGTCCATCCATACGTGTGCTAGTCTGGCCGTGTTGATGCCGTGGGTGTCCTTGTTGTTCGGGAAGGAGTATGGGTGGAATTCCCTGAAGATGTGACCCACCCTCGAACACGGAACCTACAGAAAGGGATAGAAGTACAGTATTTGATGTTTATTTCAAGGTCGTAAATATTTATATCAAAATTGTTTTACCCCAGGTCCAAACTGGTAACTAATTCCATGGGCGTATCACTTTAGAGGTTTCCAAAAATTATGAAATGCAGACGACAAACAATTATGTTAATTTTAGTATAAACTATATATGGAACAGGTAAATAGGTACTTTTTTATTATACTTGCCCTCATAAGCAAAGATGACCTACTACCACCCATGTACTCGTCTTTTTTCTATTTTTTACCAACCAACACTTTCGCCAATTAGACAAACCGTTCTTGCTCTATTTACCTAGTGTTATAACAGAAAGACGACACAAAATCAGTAAAACCTCTAAAAATACTGAAAGTACTAACATCTCTGAAAAATTAAATAATACACCGTAATAAAACATTAGAAAAGCATTAAGCGTAAACAATAATAAAACCACTAACAACTGTTGTCACTATTACTACCACTGTCACTAACATTAATACAACCATCACTTAAAGGTATGACACGTGATTATATTTTCTTTATATTCCATCTTTTCGCAGTTATGCGGTGGCAATAAAAAAATGTGAGCTTATCCATTTCATCCACTACATATTTCAAGTATGCATTTGGCTTTTTCCTTTTGTATTGCTTACAATTGTACTTCTAACATTGTGTCTTTATTTTTAATATGTTTTCCATTCAACATTTTCATGGTTTCTTCAGGCATATGTTGGAAATTTTTCTGTTAGGATGGTAAGGCGCATTATCCACGACAATTACTGCGTTCAATGTATGTCCTTCATTTTTATTGAAATAACAAATTTTCATTTTTAGTGCATTGTAGTTTGAGTTTTCTTTAATGTTGGAAGTTCATTTTAAAAATAGAAACCGTGAATTTTTGTTAAAAACGGCATATTTCCCCGGCATCACTCACCAAAATTGTTTATAACTACAGACAGACTAACCATTCTTAACAACACTTATTGGAATAACTAAAATGTGAAAATAATAACATGTCTTTCCTACTTGTACGCTTATGACACGCACTGACACGCCTCAGCTGAAAACTGACACATGGTGAGATTTCCAGAAGCCGAACCATGCATGCATTATCAGAACACTAAGCGAAATGAATGGCCCATTAGAATTTCCATGCCCCATTATTCTATCAGAATAAGAAGTAATAAATATTGTGGTTCGGCTTATTTTTAACTTACTCCTTACTATTTTGGACCTGGGGTATAGTCACAAGTCTTAAATTTGCGGATGTTTCAAATTTAACAGTATCATTAGAACACATATTTAAAATTATTTAAAGCAAATGCTTATTTCATGGTAAATATTGGTTCCAATCCAACAAACGTTTTTTAAACGTTTTGTTTAAACGTTTTTAACTAGGTTTAATCGCGTTTATGTACTTACAGTTTCCAATCTGCCGCCGCACTGCCATATCCTGAAGGACATCTCGAGATTCTCGCCGCCCCAACCGTCCATCTGTTCGTCGTAGGAGCCTATATCCCAAAAGAACTTCCTGTCGATAGCAAACAGCCCCCCTGCCATAGTAGGCGACTTCACGGGGCCCAGGGTGTGTTTGTCCTTCTCATTCTGTATATTTATCCAAGTAAAGTGACCCGACCAAGAGAAACCGCCCACCTGAAAGCTGCTGTCTCCTAACAAAAGAATACGTTTAAATCATTTCGCACGTTGAAAGTGTAAACCGCGCTTTATATCCTGTTAGTAAAATTGCTTACCGTTTGTCGAATACGCCAAATTATTGGCCTCTATGACGTCTATAATGGGCACCAAGACGGCAGTGGGTTCCTCTTGTATTCGGGAGAGAAGAGGTTCAACCCATCCCTTGGTAGCTTCGCAGTGCGCGTCCAAAAAAATCAGGACATCCCCTCGAGCTACCCTCGCGCCTTGCAAACGTGCTCTGATTAATCCCAGCCTGTTTTTCAGTCGTATAATTTGTATGTTGTAATTTTTCAGCCTAGTATCTACGTAGTAGTCCAACAGCCCCTTCAATGTTTCTAGAAAAACGTTAAAATAACGTTTACATCACGCCACGATACGTTTAAATCAGGTTATGTAACTTCCGCATGACCCGATTTAAACGTTTAAATAAGCGTCACGCAAACGCCTTTTCAGCGGCTCACCTTCATTACTGGCATCGTCCACTAAAATAATCTCCTCCAATAATCTGCTGGGCGTCTGTAAAATGACGCTCCAGACGGTTCTCAAGATGACGCTCATTAGTTCGTTATAAAATATCACAATGACTGACGTTTTCAGCTTGGGGTTGTACTTGAATTTCCTACATCTGTAAAGAGCGTTGCGAGATTATTATTATCAGGAAAGAAAGCAGGGTTTCCTTTGATAACGTAATCGGGGCAAAGTTAAATGCAATTAGAATTATATTTTAACCTAGAATCAAACATATAAAAAACTTTAATAAAGTCTACGATAAATACGATAATTATTGGGCTAATATTTGTTATCAAAAGTAAATATCCTTAAAAATTGGAATTGGAATTTGTACAAGGAATAAATAAAAGTATGCTTGGAAGTTTTTGGTGATGCGTCACCTTTCCTTTGCGTAAAATTCCTAGACTAGACGACGACTTCCCATTGATTTTCTCGCGGGTGGACCTACCCACGCTAAAAATTAGGCTTTTTTTTTCTCACTACGGTTGGAAAAATCATCTAAAATTTACTTTTACCACTTGCTCTTCAGTGAAACAATTTTATTACAGAATAAATATACGGAACATTAAAAAAGTTAATAAACAATTATAGTTGTTACTTATGAAACTAAAATAAATCAAACCTTGTAGGTGGAAAGATCAAGTTTAAGGCGCAGGGTATTTTTAATGCTAAGCAGTTATCGTAAAATCGTAAGTATAATAACTGAATATTAAAAAAAAAACGTTAACCGATTTTGTGAAATAAATTCGAAAAATTACTCATTATATTATTTACTCTGCTGTTGCGTGACTACATCTCTATTAGAAACTACATAATAGGTATTTCCAAAGCATGTACTAACTTTTACAAACATTTTTATTTTCAACAACTTTCTATTATCAATAGTTCAAGTTCAAATGCAATATTAGCGCAATAGCTGCAGCAGAATATTTCTCACAATGTTTTTATTACTACTGAAAATACATAAAAATTGGAGAGAGTGGATGGAGAATGTCTAAAATATAAATTTGTCTGGGCTGTAAAAAACTGGAATTTCTTTATTTTTTGCAGAACAGAGAAATTTACTTCAGCTTTTATGAAACATTTCACTTTCTATCTATTATAACTTTTTTCACACATGTAAACACAAAAGTGTTATGGGGGTATAAAAAAGAACTAATTCTTTTTTTGCACGAGATGGCGCTTCCTCATAAACCTTTTTAAAAGTAAAAGCTCCGTGCTTTTCTCTTTAACTAAGAAAGGTGCTACCGATTTTTTGTAAATTATTTGCGATATAAAATTACGCTAAACTTTATTAAAAAAAAAAACAAGAAAATGTGGAAAACAACCTTGTTTTTTAATATCACTGATATTTGACTAACATTCAACTTTTCAACCTTTTAACTTTTAAAACAAACCTTTTAAATTTTAAAACAAAAAAACAGTTAATGGATAACTTAAGCCACTTGGATACTTACATCGAAATTTTAAAGCAAAGAAAACTAGACATTTACTTACTTTTTGTGTCTTGGGTCCCTCAGTTTTCTGTCTAAAGGCATCCTATCACTCAGAATGGTATTCAAAGCAAATGTCTTCAAGGCTTCTTCGCCTTTCAAGGCATCACTGCCATCCAGAAAAGCAGCCTCCCCGTTGTCCCCCAGATTGGGGATGATTTTGCTCTCATACTCCCTCAGTTTCTTCTCGTAAACACTGCTTAAATTGGAGATAAGTTTACCTCTCTTAAAAACGGACCCGTCGACGTCTACCCTTCCGCTTTGCGTTGATTTTAAATAGAACATCACTAGAAACGTGACGAAGAGCACTAGAAAGAGGCACTTCACGTGTATTCTTTTCAATCGCACGCATTTCAGTAACATTTCACAAACACCGGCTACTCTCAGCTGAACAGATTGGCTAGTCTCATTATAATAAACAATTTATCAAAGCGGTTGTGACGTGCTGGCATATGCTAATTTTGTTTATAAAAAGTGCGCTTCCGTCATATTCTTTCTTGCAGAGGAAATATTGTCGATGATGTTAATTTATGGACAAACTAAAGACGTTGAAAAGAATGCCATAAAGCACTTAGTATCAACAACATCTCCGTCTTAAAAAATGCACTTGTCTTGTTGTTTTCGCATTACGCCGTTTTTAGGTTATGTTTTGAACTGTTTTGAATGATTGTGGACAGGTGCAACGTTGTCGGATATCTCGATCAACTTTCTTAGACAATTATTTAGTTAAAAAAGCATTTTTGTATGATCGTACGAACATCTGAATCAGAAATAATCAATATTAATCTTTGCTTTCTGTACAATCGTCACTATTACAATTTGTATACCTACAATGATTGTCTTGCAAAAGCAAAAAATCCTGCATAGAATTAATAATAATAATATTAAATAATACACCTCAATAAATTAAATGTAATATTACAGATTTAATAACTTGTAACAGTCTCATGAGAAAACGTCAATTGCTGTTTTATTTAGAAACAAATTTCTTTTTTAAATGTGGCACCGTCGATTTCCCTAACTGTATATTAGCTCAGCAACCAATCACATCAACACAATAACTTCTTGTAGTGTTAACTGTTGTTGCTAGATGGCACAACCACACACTTCTAATAAATTTCGCCTTATTTCGAAGAAAATGCATTAAGTTGGATTTTCTTGTATGTCGTCATTCTGCCTGTAATTTATGTTGCTTTCATAACTTTCTGTATTGTCAATTGGTACAAAAATCAGTAATCCATCTTTTTTCTTACATCTGTGAATCCCTTTTAGGGAACAAAAGCATGTGCTAGTCGCGCATGCGTCGTCCGTTCTTCTCGCCGGTAATGGCGGATTGTTTGTAATATATGTAAATTTATGCCGTTTTATAACAACAAATTGCTTGTTTTGTGTATGTTCGCGGTGACTCACGCGTCAATAATTTTCGATTCGAGTGCGGTTGTAGTGCGTGAAGAATATAACGGAAACGAAGCCGAGACCGAGCTTGTTTTTGACCACTACTGGTAAGCCGTCTGTTCTTAAGCCTTTGTTTGAATTTTCTTTGCTCAGATATTTACAGCTACTTCTGTTTGGAGTAAGGAGTTTATAAACACTGTGGTCTCGTTTTGCTTTGCGTATCACCCGGCAAATTTTATTTTTATCGTTTACTGCTTGACGTATAGGTTATGTTTTTTAATTTGATTGGTTAAACTTTCATGCTGCAGACATTATTATTGGTCGATATTTTTATTTTATCGGTGAGTCATGAGGCTACTAATATTGATATTTTTAAAGGCCATTGTAGTAAAAAACATTAAAGAAATTTTTCAAGATTCATGGCGGTTTGTACCTACGTATTGATTTACAAATAAAACAGTTTCCTGGTTAACTTGATATACCCTACTTTTTTATATAATATACCTACAAGGGGTTTTTAGTATGTTATACAATTTTGCTAATTATGCAATTAAAAGAAAAAAGTAATAGTTTTAATTAAAAAATACAATGTTCCCTATAAAATTCGAATGCAAGATAAATTAATATATTGATAGCTTTGTAATGTCTCAGGAACCAGTCCTCTTTCGGTCTTATTCTTCGTTTCATTAGGCCGGCCGTCCTTTGGATGACCTTATTTTTTTTCTTTAAAATTTTAAAATACTTTCAAATTTGTCGGCAATGAGATACTATTTACTTGCGATTGGGGTCTATAAAATACAACTTTTGAATTTCGTTGCATTTTTGTAAAATAGCAGCACATGATTTCTGTAAAGCACTGTTTAATTTAAAAAACTAGTGATTATTGCTACAGCAAATGCTTTTTTGTAATCTAGACAAATATTGAAAATGCTTTATTCTACTATTCTACTACATATTTGTAATTACATATACATATAACATTTTTGATATTTAATCAGTTTCTGCGCATTCCTTGTCCCATGTGGCTAAGTCCACGGTGATGGGGTTCAAAATCGACTTGAAAGTCTCATACTTGCAATTGTAGTCGCATTCAAAAAGTTTCAGTTGATCCACGACTTCAGTTCCGTGTCTTTTGTAGAACATATTGACGTAGTGCTCTCCCTCAGAGCTTTTCTTCACTTCCCAGATGAGGGTAGAAGCGAAGTCTGGTACTTTATAGTCAAATAGCCCCATTCCGTTTAACACTGAGCCTATGGTACCTTCGTGGCCGGAAAGCATCAGGAAATTGGGAGCTTGTTGGGTCTCATCCAACACCTTGTCAAACCCGCTGAAGAGGTTGTCAAAGAAAGGTCCATCGCCCAGTCTCTTCAGTTCGTCTGTGAAGGTCCAGCTGATGAAGGATAAACCCGCTAGGTAATCCAGCTTAGCTTGGTCCAAATTGGACGCCCAGGATGGTAGGTACGATTTGTCGTAGTTGGCGTAAATGTCCAGGACCTGGTGCAACTGGTAGATGTAACTGACATCGGTGATATTCCAGCCGGTTAGGTTGGAAAGCTGCTCGTAAAAGTCCGCGAACTCCTCGTTCATGCTTTGGAAGAAGTGGTTTTTGGTCACCTCGTCATAGAGGCGGTTGAACTTAGGGCAGGGCCTCTCCATGTACAGGACTTGGTCTTCGTTCGTGGGTAACGTGTGGACCGATATGGGCTGCCACAGGATATCCTTGTTCCAGAGTTGGTCGCCTTTGGGTGGGTATAGACCTGCCAGATTCGCCAGAGCGGACATCAGGGTGCGGTCTGTGTCGGTAGATCGGACGTAGATGTCGTCCACGTGGTAGTCCTCGCTGAGGAAGGTGCTGTAGCGACTTCGGAGCCACTGGCCTAGTTCGTATTGTTGCGTTCTTCCATACTGGAAGGGGTGTAATTCGTTTTATAAATCGAACTTTTCAAAGTGATTTTGCTGCTAAAATAAGTGCGTTTTTCAAAGAGGTGTAAATGCGGGTACATGCGAAATTAAACAATTTTCATTAAGCAACATGTGGTCACGTGTCAAGAATTATTACGCGAAACTTAGGTCGACCCTGCACCACCGCACTTAATCATTTTTTTACAATACAGCAATTGGATCAAGTTCAACGGGGCTATTTGTGGCAATGGTTTTTAGCTATGAATAGAATTTTATCGTTAATTTCGACAGTAAAAGCACAATAAATTGTGCAAACACAGTACGCTTTACAGACGGATGTAATTTTACAATAGACGGAACACGGAATTTTCATAATACTCATTATTAGTGTATCAGCTAATCCCCGCGTTGTATAGAATTCTCGTTACTAACAGCTTCCAGTGAATCTGTGTTGCGAGGTTTTCGGTGACAACATATTATTTGGATCAATTGACCTCCACACTTAAGCGATAGCGCGTAGTTTCTAACAAATCCTCTTTCTATAAAAATTTGGAGTAGCAAACAACATTGTGAACTTTACACAACAAAATTTTCTGTTTTTTTGATTTGATTTTTTTATCTTGAATATAAATGTCATTTTAGACCTCAATTTGTTTAATGAAAATTGGTTATTTTCGCGTTCTCTATTACCCCGTTAAATGAACGCACATATTTCAGAAACACGCTGTACATGTATGATATAGCAGCTATGTTCTGATAAATTTTAAGTAATCGTAATTTGTTTGTCATTCATTTCTGCTGTTTGAAGGATTGTGGACCCTTTAGGAATTGTTTTAGAAACAATATTACTCTTTTTTTCAGTTAATTTTGCAAAAATTTTTTAATTTTTTATTTTATGAAAAAAGTCGTTAGGTATTGTTAAAAATTATGTTTTTGTGCAAATGTACAAAAAAGTAGTGTTATGTGAGTCTACATATATGAACTGTTCCCTATTAAAATATTAGAAATATAATAGTAATTGATTTTATATTCAGAAGTTTAACATTGTTCATTATTTTGCAACTTTAACATGTAGAGAGTGTCACTAGGTTGTCCTATTTGTTGGTGGTAGTGACAGAAAATTTTGAGCAGAAATTTGATATTTTATTTCGTTAAAGATAATCTGTAAAGTGGAAGATATCAAAAAAATTCATCAAGAAAAGTTGCTCCTAGATAAAATTGATTCCATTTTCCATATTTGAAAGCGAATCAGTATTTAGTGTAAAAAATCGGAAAAATTTATTAGAAATTGTTTAGAATTAAAATGTAGGTTAATGTCTAAATTTGTTGATAATTGAAATATTTAGTAATTTATCAAAAAGAAAAATATCAGAGTAGATGGAATATTTTCAAATTTGGCATACAAACATGCATTTTTATTGTGAATAATTCGTTGAGGGAAAAGTATTTTACCTATATAGAACATTATTTTACCTCTGTCAAGATTTACCTAATTTGTAAGAAATAAATCTATGCTTCAAATTACATTTTAAAGTTATCGTTTCATAAAATGTAAGAATTTTAATGTAATTTTTTTTACTGTTGATACTTACGGATAAGATGACACCCCGTACATATTAAATGCTGGAAAAAATTATTATATACACTCGGCAAAAAATTAAGGGAGCAGACAAATTTTCAAATTTTTTTAGTTATTTTTGAAAGGCAGTAACGTGAATAATAGTCGTATCCAGAAAAAAAAAGCATCTTGAAGCTTGAAGATTCTAATTTTGAAATCTTGAGAAGAAAAATTTTTTTGAGTATCACTCTCGGCGCAATCAAAAGAAATATAGGCAAAAATTTTACAATTTTTTTTCAGAATTTCTTTTTGTGGCTTAATCAATGTCAGGGTTATTTAGCCTGATTTCTCGGCTTCAATTAGTTTTTTTTTTTAATTTTATGTACGATTATTTTTCATTGAGATATTGGCGATTGAGTGAAAAGTAACCTTTTTTTTCATCATCAATCATCGATATATCATGAACTAATAATCGTACAGCGAACGGAAGATGAGTTTTGGAAACAAATCAATCGTTTTCAAGGGCCTTTTCGTATGTTTGATAATTATTTTTTTTATAGTCAGTATTAATTGGAAAAAGTGCAAAAAAGGTTTTTTCTGCTGTTTTGGAAAATCAACGATTACTAGTTTTTTTTTTAGCTCAGTATATGCCCATGAGGCCTGTAAATTTCTAAATCGATCGGTCGAACCGTTTTCCTTTCCTGAATCGTCAAATATTGAAAAAAAATCAAAATTTTCCAAATTTTTTTGTTATTTTTTTCACAATGAATACTTATCAAATGTCGGAACAAAATTTGTTAATAAAATTTATTATTTTTTAATGAACAAAATTGGTAGTTTTAAAAAAACTGTTTTTTTTTTTAAACTTGAGAACTTTTGAAAAAAGGATCAATAAATCGTATAGCGATGCGTTAAAATAATGCATGAAGATTCATTTACGGATATCAACGTATATTAAAAGCAGTTAATTTTAATTCTATGAAATACGGCATGCAAAGAAAAAAACTGCATCAAAACTGAACTAAAAATGATTTGAAAATGATCAATTTTAGTAAATATTTTAAAATTTCAATATGTTTTTTTAAATTCTCATGTGGACATTTGAAATATTCAATGTGAAATTATAAAAAGATAACGCAAACAAATTTTGAACAATTTGATAGGTATTTTTTCAAAATTATTTTTTTTCAAAATTTTGAACTTTTTATTTTTCAATATTTGATGAGTATTTAACGTGAAATTATGACAAAAATAAAGCAAACATTTTTTTTTTTCATTTTAATCATCATTAATTGATGTTCAAGGAGCAATAAACCTGTTCCTTAATTTTTTTTATAAAACTGTTGATTCAGGAAACTTACACACATTGGTACTTTTCGCAATATTCGCAAAGTAGTCGTTAATTTTCCAAAACAGCAGAAAAACAAATTTTTTACACTTTTTCAAATTAATACTGAGTATAAAAAAATTATTTCCTCAAACATATCAAAAGGTCCTTGAAGAGGATTGATTCAAGTTTCCAAAACTCACCTTCCGTTCGCTGTAAGATCATTTAGTTCATGAGATATCGATGATAAAAAAAGGTGACTTTTCTACTCAATAGCCGATATCTCAACGAGAAATATTCTTACAGAAAATAAAAAAAAACAAATTGAATCTGAGGAATCAGGCTAAATAACCCTGGCACTAATTAAGTCATAAATGTTTTTGCGCACATACGCAGTTTTGAAAAAAAAAATTGTAAAATTGCGTTGCATTCTTTTGATTTCAAAACTAGAATCATCAAGCCTCAAGATGCGTTTTTTTCGATTCGACCATTATTTACGAAGTTACAGCCTTTCAAAAATCACTAAAAAATTTAGAAATTTTTCCGTTTCTTTTTTTTTGCTGTTGTATGCTGTTTAAGTATATATAAACAGATTTTTTTTTTAAAGAATAATAACTTTTTAATACCACTGCCTTGAAAGAAGAATATAATATTTTTGCAGTTGTAGAAAGAGTATGGAAATGAAAAATAAATAAATAAAATCCCCCTCTTTTCCATCCTGAACATACTGTACAGGTTGGTCCATTTTCGGTGGGATCTCAGAAACTATTGAATACCTATATGATAAATCTGACACCACGTTCTTCAGCTCGATTTTCATGGCAAACTCGACTGTCAAATCAGAAATTTGCTATCTTCATTTGTTTCTGAGTCACAGGGCGTTTCTCATTATTGTGACACTTTTGAACATGTCTGTATCTCAGCTATTAAATAAGTTAGAGTTAAAGTGAAAACTGCTCAAGACCAATTCTTTGGCGTAGAATTGAATGCCGCTATTAGATTTTTAGTAGGTCGTAAGATTCCTGAGTTATGACACAAAGTTATATTTTTTTAAATGGATATCGTAGCTGGTCATGACCTAAAAAAGTGGAGATTTTGTTTTGCTTTTCAGCAATACATCACATGCTATAGTTATTTTTCCAAACAAAGAAGATACGGGGTGTTTTATATATAAATTCGATAATATTTTACATTTTAATATGGCTGGCTATGAAAATACATACAAAACTATAATCCTTACTTTTACAAAACTCATATCTGTTGTAAAAATATGACGTTTATTTAAAAAATATATTACAGATAAGAAAAGACAAGAGTTTTAATATATTTAGAATATTAAACGTAAATTAAATAATAGTAAGTACCTACATCAATAAACACTTTCAAAAATGATAGCTAAATATTCAAATTCACGCATCTTCTGGCAACGCTTCGGATAGCATTCATTAAATGTATATTTGAAATATTATTAAAAGGAATTTTAAATATAATGTCTTTTAGAAACCCCCAAAGGAAAAAATCAAACGGACTCAAATCAGGTAACCTAGTTGACCATTTGATCGGTTCATTTGTTCCTATCCACCTATCTCTAAAATTTCGTTAGTATTATATGATCACACGAGTATACGTTGTGCATTTAAAATACTACGTCATATTTTTACAACAGATATGACTTTTGTAAAAGTAAGAATTATAGTTTTATCTGTATTTTCATAGCCAGTCATATTAAAAAGGAAAAAAATATATAATTTATATATAAAACACCCCGTATCTCCCGTGTTTGTAAAAATAACTATAGCATGTGATATATTGCTAAAAAGCGAAAAAAAATCTCTATTTTTTAGGCCATGGTCAGCTACGATTTGCGTTTAAAAAATATAACTGTGGGTCATAACTCCGAAATTTTAAGATCTACTAAAAATCTAATACCGGCATTCAATTCTACGCCAAATAATTAGTCTTGAGCAGTTTTCACTTTAACTTATTTAACAGCCGAGATACAGACATGTTAAAAAATGTGACAGTAACGAGAAACGCCCTGTAACTCAGAAACAAATGAAAATAGCAAACTTCCGATTTGACAGTCGAGTTTGCCATGAAAATCGAGCTCGAGAACGTGGGTCGTGTCAGATTTATCATATCTTTAGTAGTTTCTGAAATACCCTGAATTTCCATCGAAAATGGACCAGCCTGTACATTTATATTAATGTATAAAGCTTCATAAAGACAGGGCCAAGTTCTGAAGTCAAATAGAAGAAAATATTATTGCAGCACAAAATATTGAATTAATATTATACAAAAAGTTATATTTTACCTGTGTTAGCTGACCAAAGCCCATTGGGAAGTAGGACAGATCGTAATATGGATCATTTGGAAACGATTTTGAAGGACTCCTGGCTCCGTCTCTGTACAACTATAACATTTTTTTCGTTAAATTAACAGAGAAAAATTCCAGAATTGCAGAGTACATTTACATAATATTTACGGAGCTATTATTTTTTTTCAAAATCGCCTATACACATGTAACTTAATCAAAACCCAGCGCTTTGCTGGTTGCCGATCTGATTAAGAGTTCGTGAGGCGCGGCTGTTAACAGGGCCGTACTCGGCTCATTCTCTCAATATTCATTTTAGATCTTTGCTAGATTTTATTCCGGCTGTTTCATCCAAGGTTTCATCATTGTATTTTATACGTTTGCATAAACCATTGTAAGTTGTAGTCGGAGCGTGTATTTAAATATTCCTACAAGGTGTTCCAATTTATTCATATACGAGAGACTAAACTAATAACTAAAAAACCAAATGAAACTTAAATATTTTAGTTAATCCTAAAAAGGTTTATATTTAGAGATTATAACTTGCTTAAATACTATTTTGTTGATTTTTCCTTCGAGGCAAATTGATTATCAAAAATTTTTTGATTTTTAGCCTAAATATTTTGTCCGGTTCTATTAAGAGCGCATGTCCTCAACTGTTGTCTTTGTTTTTAGGACAGAAGGGTATACGAACGGTATTTTCCTTTTAAACGTACTTAATCGTTGTTTTTAGTGAAATGTGGTATATTCATGTGCAACATGGTAAATATATTGAAGGCATTGAAGGACGTGTGGCATAAATTTTATACGCAGGTACGAAGATCAAAGAAATATTCCAAATGACCGTAAATAAGTTAATGAGCTTGGTAAAAACCAAGGGGTAGAGCATCTAGCACATTTGCTGTCGAATTGTTATGATTTTCGGCTCAACAGAGAAAAAAGGTCACTTTAGTACCGGGAAAGGCGCGAGAAAATTCCTCGGAAGTTCTTGCTTTCGCATATTTGTTTGTAGAAAAATTTATTTACCCGATTTCGCGATGTTTATCAGGTAATCGTTGTTTAATGATCACTTATCGGTATGCCTGCATCTTAAAAAAATAGATGAACATATTTTTATCTACCTTGGAATTCAATTCGAAACATTCAGTTGTACTTTGAATACATGTTTTAAAAGACACAAATAAATGTTAATCTCGCGCTGTTTTGATTGCAAATATGTCCAAATTGTGTGAATAGAAATATTAAAAAAAATATTCTGTGAAGATTTAAATACATAAAAGATATTATTTAGACAAAATTATGTGTTAGTAATCGATAATTCAAGTTTACTAAAATTGCGTCCTGTTTGGATAAAACAGTTTTTTCTCTGTTAAGATGAGTTACCTTTTTAGCACGAAGTTTTTATTGATAAAATAGATGGTAATTTCTATCACATTTCAAATGTAAATTAGCGAGACTAAAAAATCATGTATTCTAGCAAAAAAAAAACAAGAAAAAATGGAAAAGGTTTTTCAGAGAATAAGAAAAAGCTGGAACGATGTTTTAAATAAATTATTTGTGAAGTTTATTTAAGAAATCTTACCACTGTAACTGCCACAAGTTCGTCCGTATCGTCCTTAAGGTTCTTCACTAGGAGACCATAAGAGTGATGTAAGCCCAAAATTAGGAAAATCACTCCCAAGTGTGCCCTCATTTTCGAAAAGAAAGTGTAAATATGTACTTATAACAATAATTATAAGACTATGATTTAAAAATAACTTTGGCCTTATTTATATAATAAATATGATGTAAAGTGGGGGAACGGAAAAATATCTGAAGAGCAGTGTTTGTTTGTTGTTAAGGACTGATTATTTTGGCAATTATTATTGCGCAATATTACAATTATATTTAAAAAACAGGACAAAATTGAATTTTTTTTTGTAATATTTCATGAAAAAAGACTCATTTCGATCCAACATCCACCAGACTTTGTGAAAATTAATTTATATAATTAAGTTTCCTGTTGTAGTAGAAAATTAAAAAATAACTACCAAAATATGTGAAGAAAAACTTTGGTTTAATATCAAAGGTAGGATCTATTGCTACTAGTATTTTGCTGAAATATTAAAATCTATAACTCCTACATTTGAAATGATTTTGTCAGATTTATACAAAATGTCTATAGTCTATACAAAATTTGTCAAAGAGCTTTTTTGGTTCGTTTTAATATAGATCAAATTTGTTTAAAATGTGTATAAACCTGTTCATATATAAATAAAATAACATATGCGTAAAGATGCATGGTTTCACAAAAATAAACCATCAAGGACAAAAACAACCCCGAGATATTGTACATATAAAAATAACTGTTATCTTCATATTTTTGCGTCGTATAATTATTTGCGTGGTACTTGTTATACAGTCATAATTATATCAATCGTTAATATCGCGGTCCGAAAGATCGCCAGATAACATCGAGTATAAACTGTGAAAAAAATAAAATAATTATAGCCATGTCCGATAAGATTGGAGATATTAGCTTGTTTATCGCGAATCGCGACATAAGTTTGTTTGTTGTACAACCATTTGTTCTGCACCGTCTATTAATATCCACCATATATTCCCGGAGTTCCAGGAAAGGACGCTTGTGGTGTCCGGTGGAATAGATGGTCCTTGAGTTGACATCAAGGACTTTCATGATCGCCCATACAATTTTCAGCTGTTTTCTTAAAAATTAATATCTTTCTTTTTTTCGTAAATCGCAAAGCTTTGTAAAATGTTTTTAATAAAAAAAACCTATACTTGGATTATTTGAAAAAAAAAACACCCATTGGTTATAACGTCATTTGGCAGATACAAATAGCTTTAGGTATATCTTTAATTGTGACGTCTTTTATTTTTTTCAGGAAAATATTTAAGTAGGTACCTACTTTATGTATTTTAAAAAAATTGTTGGTGCACTGCAAAAAATCGGTGTGAGTGAAAGCAATAAAGGAAATTATTGAGTATATTTTCACTCGATAGTGGACATTTTGATCATTTTACTTTACTCATTTGTGATTATATTTAAACTAAAACTGAGTAATTTAACTCAAATATAGGTACTCCTTAAATAAATGCATTACGTAAACTCGTATTTACTGCACTTGTACATAAATTAGAGTAAATACCCTCATTATTGAGTGAGTTTAAATGTATATTTATTTCAAGTAATTTTAATGGCACCGTGAAGATGGCGCCACTTACATATTGCTTCTGTAATCTCGACCATACTTGATAGGGGCCCGTTAGATGTTCCAGAAAAGCGTGATCTACAGGAGAATAGGCCTTAGCCGGCGGCGGCGGGTCTCAGCCAGGACACTCAATATTTAGTTAATTAAATCTTAAAATTTGTAGAAAATGACTCAATAATAGTTACATTCAAATCATATTAGAGAAAAAGTTAACTCTAAATTGGTTTTATATACTCAGAATAGAGTCAAAAGTCGCTCAATTAATGGTTAGCAGTACCCCGGATTTGAGTAAAACTCACTCATTTATGATGCAATAGTTTAACTCAGTTGTACTCATACTAATAAAGTGAAAATTTCAGTCAGTCAGGTGTGGACAGAAATTGATACATTATTGAGTAAAATTGAGTGAAATTTGAGTGAAATATTTTTACAGTTTTCGACTGTATACTCTTTTTATTAATTTTAACAAAAATGATTCAGTTTCCAGAACTGAACATACAGGATGTTTTATAACGAATATCATAGTATAATGGGAGGTTTCTGGAGTCAAAATATGCCGATATAATCCAACTTGGCTTAGTGCACAAGTTAACACAACAGGGGGTCAAATATGCAACAAAAATCGTTTTCCTCACTATTTTTTGACACATGGTAAATATGTGGATCAAATTCGGTCTACGTGAATTTATCGTGCTTCAAAAATCTTATTCACAGTTGAGGTTATGTTCACCAGTGTAGGTGTATTTAATGTTAAAAATTCTCATCATTGGTCTGATGAGAATCCGAATGAAATTTCGATTCAGCACTCCATTCTCAATATTAATTTAAAATGATTATTTGGTTTGGAGTAGTTGCCGACATCATGTGAACTTTGTTGGCAAAGATTTATTCCAGTTACTGGAAGATGTACCACTAAATATTCCTCATGCATATGCTATTTACATGATGGAATTTCTCTTCATTATCCAATGGAAGTTTGAAATCACCTGTCCCTAAAATGTTTTCTGCTAAAGGTAAATAATTTGTATATGTATAAAGTGTAGAAAATTTCTATTATATTTTCATTTGACCAACAACATATTTTATGTCCTCAAATAATTTTATTACATAGATGGTAAATTTCGTTTTGTTCCATTTCAAAAGGTCTCCAAATTGCCATGTTGTGATAATATTAATAAACATTTCTCCCTTTCGCAATTGTAATATGAATTATTAATAGAAGGTGACTATAATGAATTAAAATTACCTGAATCACACCATATTTCGCATTGCTGCACTGCACTGCTAGGCCATTTGTTGATAACCGAATATATGGCCAGATGGCCTAGTGCGGCTGTTTGCCCGTTCGCTCATTCTTCAATTGGGCGACTAGACCTGTATATGGGTATGGCTAAATAAAAATGAGAACATATTTTTTAAATATTTCAATTGCTGCATCAGCGACCGAACCTGGTACATACAGACAACCTCTTGGTTATACGGACGAGGCAACTACAATCCATGTGGTAGTCCGGATTTAAATCTAACGGACTTTTACATTTGCGGTTACATTAAACAACTTAGTGACAAAACACCCTGTATCTTTATACATTTAATAAATATTCTGTTCTACGTTCACATTTTTTGAGGAAGACACGAATTTGTGTACCTCGATTTTTATTAAACAGACGTGTCGTCCATACTGTGAGCCTCATTTGTGTAATCTTCCCATATTTACGAGCATATTTATGAATAACTTTACTGTTGTACAAGGAAGAAAATCTCGAGTAATAATATAAAGGCGCCTCCAAAAGTTTGTCAGACTTGACTGTGAATGTAAAAGATGGAACGCCACAGTTCTCTTCGTTGTACACGTTAAGTGATCCGTACACATTCAGTTTTTCACGCCGGCTTGGTTACGTGGATGAAGCTGTATACAGGGTAGGAAAGTACCGATGGTCTATCTGAAGTTACGTGAGAGCGATAAAGTAAGCCATAGAAATCCATGCGATAGAGAAGGATGGCTATAATGAAGACTTCTCTTTGTCACCGCCCGTTTCGCCCTTCCACAAATAAGATCCACTTCTTATTTTTGGAAGGGCGAAATGGGTGTTGACTATTAGACGCCTTCATTATAGCCATCCTTGTCTATCACATGGACTTCTATGGCTTACTTTATCGCTCTCACGTAACTTCTGATAGACCATCGGTACTTTCCTACACTGTAGTGTGTAGGCAAAAGTCGTTCGAGAGTAACTGTCGCGTTTGAAGATGACAGAAAAGTAAATATGTTTTAGTATGTCTCATTTTTCACAAAAAAACAATTGAGCATCTTTCTAGATATCAGATAGATCAGATATTTGGCGTCAGAGGCATACACAAGATAACTCTTCTCTTTGAATTTCGTTTTAGTTATTTACGCGTAAATTAAATCGTATTCGTTGTTACTCCTGTTTTGAAATGTTTCATTGTTGATTGCCAACCCTAAAAACACTAAAAATGTTAGTATATTTCGATCACAAAGGATACACTACATAGAGTGGAATCTTTATTGTTGTCATGAGTGGCGCAAAAACTATTTTTATTATAGGGCAGAAAGCATTTACTATACAGGGTGATTCAGTCATAATGTCATTAATATTAACCACGTATTCGGAAGGCCTAGTAAAGACAGAAAATCGAAAATCAAAATTTTTACTCAACTTTTTAAAAAATAAGCAGATTACCCTTTAACTCCCGTTAATTCGGCGCCCTATTTCGTAATACACTCTCTGACAGGGGACGCGTAGGCGGACTACAGAGCGTTCGAACGTTGAAGCGAAACAGCTGATTTCTTCATTCGTCTTAAATTTTGCAACTGGTTTAAAAATCAAAGTACAGCGGATCCCAACTTTATTAACAAAGTGCTATAAACGGACGTGTTGTTTTAGTCGTACTGGCATTTTAAATAGTTAGCTGCCACTCTACTCTTTGAAAAGCAGTAAATCACAAGGTATACGTACTACAAACTGAATAATTAATTTAACATAGTAGTTAAAACTCATTCAATTATAAAACATAGTAAAAACGTTAGCAATGTTAAAAATACTAAATTGTAATAACCGAAAACAGTTATTATTATACATTTGTTTTTATTAATAATATTTAAAATGTAAAAAATATCTTACTCCTTCATGTGTCTAGGAAAAAGATGTGTTTCCTTGCCGTTCACAGCGGATTAAAAACGCAATAAAAGCTAGGTTAGTGACCGAATAATACGGTATGTATTTTTTAATCGCGTGCCTACTCATTTTTCCCTTATCTTCCTTTAAATTTAATGACAGTAATACTGAGTCAACCTATAAAGGCTGTTACAAATTCGCTTCTCACTACAGGGATCTCGAAAACGGTAAGAGATACAAACTAGCTTAAATGGGGGCAAAGTTGCGTAATCAGGCTAACATGATTAGTTTTCGAAATATTCGAAAAAAAAACGAAATTTTGGGATTCCGTTTTTGTTTCATTTCAGCATTGGTTGCCACTTTTTGCCCTCTA